GAGACCTTATATAACAGATAAGTTAAATAATTACGTACAATTATATCTATTGCTGTGAGTTTTGTCTGATCTCCAGCTAAGATTTGCAGTAAGCTTTTTCACTAGGCCAAATACTACCGTATTCTTTACAATTTCACCTTCACCACACTTTTTATTCATGCCACTTTACAATCTTTACAATCATCATCGTATTCTTCATATTCAACACAGTTTTCATTTTAACCTTTACCTAGACCATAGCCGTAATCTTCATTGCCAATAACCGTTGCCGTAGCCATCTTCACACTTATCATCCTAATCATTTAAATAAAATTATATCAGTACATAAATCGATGAGATTACAATATAATTTGATTAAAAAAAGGTTACAAAGTAGTTTTTTTTTCATATTTTGATTTAGCATTATGCACTATATACTATAAATATAAAAAATTTAATAAACGATTAAATATATACTACCATTATATAAACAAGCATTATTTAGTAAAATCATTTAGGAAACCAAATATAAGCCTATATATAATACCTATACAACAAGTAGTAGAAGTAGAGAAAAAAAGAATTAAACCTACAGTAGCAATATTTAACTTTATTTTATTTTCTTGATCATTGTTAAAAAAATTAAGGGTTCGTTTTTTATTTTTCTCGTGTAAGTGAATAGAAAAGTTATTTAAACCTTAAGAAATGGAAATGTTTTTGTTGAGCTAAGGAAGGATTTTGAAAGGTCATTATATTAAATTTTTAAAAATCGAATCAAATATTTTTTAGATAAATTTTTTCAAAATAATAGAACAAATTATAATGATTATATATTAATGTTGTAAATGTTATCAAAATTATTGTTTCTTTGTTTTTTCATCATTGCATGGGCGATCTTATAAAAAATGGTAAAACTTTTTTTCCCATCATTATATAAAGACCTTAAATTAGGACAAGATTATAACAATCCTTAGCGAAATGTTAAAACTGTTTAGTCTTGTTTTTTTTCATCACTGTATGGTGATTTTAAATTAGGACAAGGTTATAATAAACTTTAGCAAATGCTTGTTAAAATTACTTTTTTTCTCGTCGTTGCATGGTGATCTTAAATTAGGTTAAGATTTTGATAACTTCAAGACAACGAACAAACAATCCTTTAAACTTAATATTAAATAAAGTTATTAAATGGCTATAAAAATAATATTGTAAATGCCGATCTTCGTAAAGCCATTTTCGATAATTCATCGAGGACCGGATTTATAAATAATGAAATTGTCCATCTTTGTTTTTTAACTTTGTTCTGCACCAATATTACGTTCAGCCAATATTGGTTTACTGTAGTGACTGGACTCGTATTAACTCGTGACTCGTGAATTAAATTCCTAAGAGTGTTCGAATTATTCGATCAAATTATTTATCGATTAATTCGAGTCAATAACAATTAATTTATTGAAAGTTTTGTAAATTGTGAGTTACAAAAGCAAATATGCTTCGAATAGCGAGTTACGCAAAACAAATATAATTAAATTACATGCTATAAAAGCAATGATTACAAGCTATGAAAGCAAGTAGCATATTAATTATTCAACTGGAAATCCATATTTTTTTTTAAAAAAAAATACTATCTCACCCACCAATTCTGGATTAAGGTTTGTGCTTTTTCTGTAATAGTACTTTGACTAATTTCTTCAGCGTAGGATTCCTCCTGTTCATTATTGCTTTTGTTTTGCGCCATATTTGTATAAACGGAAATGTCTTGAAAGTTATTGAAATTCTTGTTTTTTTTATTAAATATAGTAATTATAGGTATAGTTTAACTTTCAATGAATTACATATGAGTGCTGTCAATAGAAAACCTGTCATCGGGCTTTCAATGTACAGTTAGCTTTCTACATGCCGTCTATATAATCTATCATCGGAAATTCAATTATATTTCGTGTCTGATATATGGTATGTCCGGCACAATATATAATTGAATATCCGATAGTTGATTGTCCATAGATGGCATGTAGAAAGCCAACTGTACATTGAAAGCCCGATGACAGGTTTTCTATTGACAGCACTCATATATATAGTTACGTTAAAATTACATAAGTACGTATTGTGCATCATTACAAATTTTATTATTATTTTAAAACATCATAGCACGCAATTATGCATTAATAATAAACTCACGAGTAACTCGCGAGTAACTCGTGAGTTAAATTTTCATGATTCGAAGAATGATAAATTCGAATTATGCGAGTCACGAGTTGACGAGTCCAGTCACTAGTTTACTGATAATAGATATCAATAAAAAAAGAACCTAATCTTATTTAAAGTTAGATTCTAAAAAAACAGTCCACTATTTACGTTTATGTTTGATATTTTAATGGGCACTTATAATTGGGTATATAGTAAAGTAGTACGGTACGGAAACGCAAATTAGGACGGACGTGTAGAAATCAAGATAGTACGTACGATTTGTAAAAGAAAAAATTTGTTACTTTTTCTATTAAGCCCAACATGAAACAGGACACCTAGCCATTAAAATTGTATACTTATAAAATTTGAATTTTGAAAGTTACCATCAAAATTTTGTATAATTTTCGTACGTTTGTTCGAATCTGTATTGCCTACAGTACTACGTACTTTACTGAATACCTCTTATATAATTAAACCCGTAAGTACGTACGCACGTACACGTACCGATCCTTAAAATGGTTAGGAGCATAATGTAAACAAGTGCCGGTATAATACGTACGAACGTACTATTAAAACATAACGATGGTTCCTATGCTCATTGTTGTATGTACGTACATTGTGAAAGGCTAAAGGACCACCGACCGACCCATTTCTCTTTTCGTTGTTAATTCTTTACCTTATTTCCATTTTTATTTTTTTTGATTTTTCTTTCTATTTTTCCCTTTTTTTGAAAAGCTCAAATAAGTTTTAGTCAGTAAAAACTCCCAGGAAATCATTACTGTAAGGTGCAATAAGTATGGCTTATGGTACTTATCGTTATGGTACTTATGGCCTTTATGGTGCTTATGGTGCTTATGGTGCTTATGGTGCTTATGACTGGTGCTCGACAAAATCAAGCAAAAACTAGACAATCAAGTATATACAGTACTTGATTAAATAAGCTAAATATATATGATCTATGATTGTTTAATGTCCGACTTAATCAAGTACTTGATTGAATTTTTTTGCTTGACTTTGTCGAGCACTACTTATGGCACTTATTCCATTTATCGCCCCTAGGCAATATAGAAGTTCATATCACTCAATAACGATGTAAAAACTATAAAAGCAGAACCTTTTCGCGTTAATAAAATCAACTCTTGTAGTTCCAAAAACCTTCGAAATGAGAGTAGAAGTATTTGCTTTAACCCGTTGTGTACCCTTTATTAAAAATCCTTCATCGTGACTATCGAATATCGTATTGTTATATTTGTAAAAGAGAAATTGTATTAGTAGCAAGAAAAAAACAGAAGACACAGGTGAATCTCGCCACTGGCTTCTTCGCTAAGAAGCTATTGAGCTATTGAACTGGCTGACATGGTGGAGTACAAAAATGAAGAAGAAGTAAAAGAATGGGTCGAATAGCATGCGAAAGAAGCCAGGAAAAACTGGTTAGAAGACCTAAATTCGAAATTGACCTAACTTACACTCTGAATTAAAAAAGGTGGAAGACGTAGATTTAATATTATATCCCAAGCTAGAAAAATTGAAGAACGAAAAAGAGAAATTGAATCTGAAAAACATATGATCGAAGAAGAACGAGACCACTTTGCATCCTTGTGAGAGGATGCACGTCGATACGAAAAAAAGGCAAAAGTTCTTTTAAAGGAGCAAAATGCCGTAAAAGTCGAATTAAGCTATTGAACTGGCAGACATGGTAAAGAAGAAATAAAAGAATAGGTCAAGTGGCAGGCGAAAGAAGTCAGGATAACCTGGCTAGAAGAAAATCGGAATTCCTCTCAGAATTGGAAGAACGTAATTATAAAATCGCACTCCGAGTTAGAAAAGACGTATTCTGGGTTAAAAAAAGGTAAATTTAATATTATATTCCGAGTTAGAAAAATGAAGGACGAAAAAAGAGAAGCCGAGTCCGAAAAATGGATGATCGAAGAAGAACGGGATCAATTTGCATCCTTGTGGAAAGAAGCTGATGAGGATGCATGTCGATATAAAAAAAGGCAAAAGTTTGTTAAAGGAGCGAATGTTATAAAAGTCGAACTAGCAAAATCTCAAGTTTAGTTTGACTGATGATTAGAAAAAAAATATTAAAAAATAAAAAAATAAAAAAATAAAATTAAAAAATACAAAAAAATAAAAAATATAAAAAATATAAAAAAATGAAAAAATAAAAAAACAAATAAATAATCAAATAAATGAAGAAATTAAAAAAAAAAATAAAATTAAAATTAAAAATAAAATTAAAAAAAAATCAAAAACAGTTACGGATGATACTACGACTCAGAATATGTAATCGTTTAATACTAAATTTCGACAAACATTTTGACATTGTTAGTTTTTTATATGAATTCCACAAAGTAACTATGCTACCTAATGTATTTTGGCATACCTAAAGAATTCAAATAAAATTTCACTAAAAATTTCGACAGCTATGAAAATTAATTTCGCCACTAAGAAAAATTAATTTCGACAAACTAAATGTCGAAATAATTTTTATTAAGAGAAATAATTTAGACACCCATGTATACCCAGTGGTACTATTTTTGGCAATGCATAAAACAGCCCATTTTCAATTTTCACAGAGATAATAATATAGAAAGTGTCAAAAAGCATGTTGATATTTCAAAAATCTAATCGGCAGACACTACATGTATTGTTACGAATCTTTGAGGAAACAATCAAGAATTTACTTCAATAACAAACTTGTGACAGCTATTGGCTTGTTTGTTTCTGACCAACTGATCAACATTAACGTTTTGATTGTTTTACTCAAGGAGCATCTTGTCAAAGAAGGTATGAAGGTATAATTTTTTTAGTACTAGTTGCAATGAATTTTGTTATAACATGTAATACTTTTTTCTTTATATAAAGACCTCTTACTCCAGTTTGTTATGGTGTTCAATGTTTATCTTAACGAACAGATATTGATAGTGTAGGTGGTTCTCTCAAAAGGTGGAAATGAACAACAAAACTTATCATATCGGCCGATTTGGTTTGACCCCAAAATTAGCCAATCATGATTGAGAATTATTTGTCGTTAAAATTTATTACAAAGTAAGTTTTTACACAAATGGTCTGAATCATAATTAAATATATAGAATATTGCAATATCTACATGTTTAATTATTAGCTAAAAGTAAGTTAAAAAGGCCGTTTGCCTCAAAAATTGCTTCCGAATTCACACATACCCATTCTACAACCGATCGTTCACTACCCGAAATTATCCGAACGCTTCAACAACTAGTGATAGTGCTTTCTTTTACGACTTAGTGTGGCTGTATTTTAGTATTTATTGCTTATTTATCTCATACAGAGGATAAAAAAACTTTTTTATTGAATGTTTCGTTTGTCATCACTTAGTGGCAAAAGTTCGTAACCGTTTATCAAAAAATGACCTCTAAAAATCAAATCGGCGGATTTCTTTCCTCTAACAAGCGGAAATAGACAACAAAACTTATGAAATTCTTCTCTCTAACAAACTAATATTTTGAAGTTGAGGATATGAACTAGCTTGTTTAACGTCATAATTAAAAACAAAAAATTCAATGAAAGAACAAAACATTGATCATGTTAAAGAGATTTTAAAAGCTGAAAAACACCCCGCAAAGGTAATTTTCTTTGATTTATATAAAGCAATCATTGAACTAAATTAATGTAATTTATTAATTCTATATTCACTATTTAATTTCTAGGTTATTACTTACTTCAAACATCAGATGAAGAATGGTTGTTAGCAGGAATCAGAATTTGTGAAGGCCATTTGGAAATCAATGATACAAGCCATTAGCTGAGATTCTTGTACAGAACGAATTGAAGCACAAGATTTGCGTCAAGTTAAAGTAAGCAATGTTTAAATAGTCGATGATAAAAATACTGTTCACTATTGACAAAATAACCGCGTTTCTTTTTTAGCAATGTTTAACTATTCTCGGTGTATTTTCTACCAATCCTAATACAGAATTTGATTTATACAAAAAGCTCAAACATGTTACAAAGACGTCTCAGAAAGTGCTATCTTATATTAGTTTGAAAAGATAGCGGCAAGTCAGTATTTTTTGAAACAAATGGGCCTTTTGTACAATGGCTTAAAACCATCAATAGTGACATCGTAATATTTTTATAGTTAAAAAAAATAATTTTCATATATAAAGAACCACATAATATAAATGTTCTAATTTAACAGAGAATTGTTTACATTTCAACTGCTTACTAAAAACCAAATTAACCCTAGTTACTCGGACCAAGTCTTTCCACGCCTTAATCTAAGCCTTACAGAATTTGGTTAATATTAGTTACAGTTGTTTTATTAGTATTAGAGTATTGTTGTAGTGAGTTGTCCGTATCTTGACCTGACAACTTTTCCGACGCAGTTCACATTTTCTCCCCTTAATTTCTCAATTTTTAGTTTGAAAAGCTGTATCAAAAGATAATAAAATTTTAAATTTAAACATGTTGATTTAAGAGCTAAAAAAAGTTGTCTTAATAAAATTGTATTATTGGCATTTTTTTAAAACCTCAATTTTGCCCCAAATCCGTCCCAACCGTTCCGTGTACAGCACTTCTAATAATAAGTTATAGTATTCGGTGTGATTAGGATCCTAATATAATAAATATACAGTATAATCTCACTCTCGATATAGTGAAGTCGTCGGGATGAAACAAAATCTTCACTATAACTTATATTGAGAGAACTTCACTATATCGAGTTAAAATTTAATAACTCTGTAATTCAAAATTCTTCATTATATCGAATCTTCATTATATCAAGAGTTCATTATAACGAAAGTGTGTTGCATAATGAAGGCATCGAGCTATTAATACAGAATTTCAAAATTCCGTTATATATAAATTTACTAATGGTTCCATTATATCGATGCTAATTTAAATATAAAAGCTAAAGATGAAGTTCGCTAAGTATGTGTCGTTATATCGATTATACCGTACGTTTGATTAAAGAATTCTATCAAGACGAAGACCGAAAAGATTTCGGGTAACGAGCAAAATTTTAATTTTGACCAGCATTTATGAGAACAGCTGTAGATATATACGCTTACCCGAAAAAAATTAGCAAGTTAAAATTTATGTTAAAATTCATGAAAAATTTATTATTTTACATACTATTTATTAATTGATAAGACAATGCCAAAGAAAATTAACAACACAGTATTCCCAAAGACGTTCAGCAAAACATTTGTTGTAGAAAATTTTTTTATGCATACAATAAACCAATTTTATTTCATTTATTAAAAACATGGGCGTTACTTTTGGTATTTATTGTAGTTCTTATTCATTATATTTAAATAAAATGTTATAATATTTATAATTTATATATTAACTTTGTTAAAAAAAAAATTTTATTATTATATATGGAGACATGTCATATTCCATGTTATAGTTCATTTTATACTATATATATATAATCATTATTGCTTAATATAAATTTCAAATTTTTTCCAATTTCCGGGTGCATCTTTAGGAACTACAATGAACGTGACCTTTTTACCACGTTCCGTAGTTTTACCGGGGATAATCATTAACGTGAAAACTTTAGGCTGAGAATATTTACCCTTAGGGAACACTAAAACCTTATACACAAAATGCAAAGCTTTTCCTTTAGGAAGAACGACAACACGGTATTTTTTAGGTCCTTCAGGGACACGGAAGACGTCTGAAGTAGAGACCATCTTATCAAGAGTATCGCGAACTTGATGAACTTTAATTAATTCGCTGGGATCAAGTGTTGCGCCAGATGAAGGTTCCATAAGACTTTCCAAGTTAGAACGTAAGAGTGGATTGGAAAAAAAATCATGACCGTCTGTTGCTTCAATGTCTTCTGCTTCTCCTTTTTCCAAGTTAGAACGTAAGAGTGGATCGGAAAAAAAATCATGACCGTCTGTTGCTTCAATGTCTTCTGCTTCTCCTTTTTCATCTGCTTCTTCTTTCGCATCAGTTTGCTTAATATCATCACCTAAATTCAATGTTAGAAATTGACATTAATTTTATTATAACCTACGGAAATTCTTGAAAATAATTGGTGTTATGTCATTACTTTGAAGATTTGTAGTTGGTGTTTGTTGAGGATTAGAGATCATAGGCGGGTCTGGCAGTTGATGATCTTGCATAAGTGGTGATGATTCAGGCGATTTTTGATCTTGCATAAGTGGTTCTGTTGCACTTTTTTCATCGGTGGGAGCAGTGTTTTGGGTTGGAAAACCAAGAACAAACGAGATAAAAACGGAAATTATAAATAAATTAATAAGAATTCGTGCCATTTTTTAAAAAAATTTCTGGGTCAAAAAAGATTTGTAACTTCTATTGATTCAGAAAAGAATGAAAAATTTTTGTTGCGAATATACCTCGAATTTATACTTTTTGACAAGAAGAGTTAACCTCAATAACGAATTGTATTAACTATACACTTTTTTCCTTTTTTTTCGGTGTTTGCAAAGGGTGAAAAGCTTGATTCATTCGTTACTATTGTTTGAACCATAAACTTACACAATGCTGATATATAATTTGACTTATAGCCCATAGCGACTATGTGAAGTCAAGCTTTAGCTCTTTGCATATAGATGCTAAGTCAATCACACACTGCACAAAATAACCTTTTTTAGAGTGTATTATAAAATTAGATATATACAGTATATGATAATGATACGACGTAGTGATTTATCACTAATTGTTAAATATAGTATTTTATGCTTCGTGACTTAATATATCGACCTAAAAATAACGTACGTATGTTTCCAATTATTTCCTGTTCCAGTGAAACTGATAAAGTATATTATATAAAAATTTTTTGTAAAATAGAGATTTAGCATTAGAATGTTAATTTAGCAAGATAGAAAGTGCAGTATGATATGATTTCTTTTTTGACGTAAAAATCAAATTTCTCTTCCTCTTTCTGAGTGTGGATCCTTAGAATTATACTCCAATCATAGGTAAAATTGCATCCATTTATCCATTATTATTTAGCAAGTTAGTACCCGAGAACAATTCTCAAGACAGTGGATAAAATTTACTGATGATATACGTAGCTTTGATTTTTTATTATGTCACAAGTAACTATTATGGCTGATTGATCAAAATTATGACTAGTTAATTTGTCTCATTGATATTAAATACTGTAGTACGTGCCAAAATCGGTCAATTCCTATATCTGAGTATTGGAGATGTCCCATATTGATGTTCTTCACACGTTACTTCATATAACGTTAATCTCTCGCAAAATAATTGTCACGGCTGAAGCCGGAAAATTTAAATACTTTAACATGAAAATTTCAAAACAGTTAGCCTAGGATTTAGGAATAGTTAACACTATTTAATTTTGGGCGGGCTAATATTTCTATAAGTGGATGTATGATGCTGTGATACTTTACCATGTATGT